CGGCTGTCTGGGGCCGGCCGCTGGTGCTGTGACAGTAACGCTCTCTGCCTGTTGGCAGCACGGAGGCATCTACGTCAAGAGGAGCGCGAGGTTCAGGGAGGAGGAGATGCGCCAGAAGCTGCTGAGCTACGTGAGCGCCGGGACCCCGGTGAGTGACGCCGCCCTCCGCTCAGTGTGCGGTGTAGGACTTGGTGCGATGTAAGGCTTGTCTGCCAGGCTGTTGTCCGTGTGTAACGAGTAATTCAGGGCTTTGTTAAGGCCACAGAAGCCCTCCCCATAGAGCAAGCACATGGGGCCATGAGACGGTGGCTGCGGACGGATGGCGGGCCTTTGCTGGGGCTCGGTTTGACCTGAGAGAGCAGGCAGGGAGGACGCGGTGTCTAGTCTATAAATAGCAGGCGGCTGCCTGTCACTTAGGCCTCCACCCGCTCTGCCTGGTCTCCATGTCAGCGCGTCCAGGCGGCTGCTTTCTGGCTGTGAGGGCCGTGTGACTTCTTGTGTAGATGCAGTTATTTGAAAAGTCAAAATTAGTGTCAGTATCTGCAAACAAAGAACTATTCAGTGTAAGTATTACTTTATAAAACTTGCCCCCCCCCCCCCAAAGAATCTCGGTATTCACTTAGAAAGACGCTGGCGGCCGCCCGGCGCCCTCACCCTGCTCCCCCAGAACCCAGGAATCAGTGCCTGCGCTTCTTCCAGTGCCCGGGGGGCCCTGTGGCTCAGAACCTCTCCTCCAGGGTCAGGCTCCCTCCTGTCCTCCTCTGTTCCCTCTGCTCCTCCTCCCCGTGCCCTCCCTACAGCGCGTGGTGAGGAGGAGGTCTCCCTCCACAGCAGCTGGTAAGCGCCCTGCGGCAGGTGCTTGTTCACAGCCGAGCGCTCCTTGTTTCGCACGGTGGGGGCCGTGTGGCTCCGCTCTGGACGGCTCACCTGCAGATGTTCACGTGGGGCTGGTGTTCTCGGGTGGGGAGAGAGATTCTTTGAGCATTCGGCACCCTAAATGAAAGCCTCTTATTTTTTTGTTAATAAATTTAAAAGCTTGGAATAATTTTGGATTTACCAAACCCAAGTGAAAAAAGGCGCCTCTGGAAAGAAAGAAAATATTGCAAACCACGTGTCCTGTAAGGTGTTAATTTCGAAAATACATGGGACTCAAGCAGCTCAGTAGCAAGAAAACACATCACCCGGAAATGGGCAAAGGGCTTGACTGCACACTCTCCAAAGAAGCCCTGGGGGGGAGGGGTGGGGGGGCAACATGACAAGGTGCTCCACGCCCCGATCACCCGTCAGGGCCACAGGCAGGTGTCACCTCACACCTGGTAGAATGGCTGCTCTCAGGACGTCAGGAGGTGGGAGAGAAGGGAGCCCTTGGATACTGTCGGTGGGACCTAAATTGGTAGTGTCCTTATGGCAAACAGAACAGAGGGCCCGCCAGGGATTAAAACGAGAGCTGCCATCTGATCCGGCAGTTCTACTTCTGGGTGTAGATCGGAAAATATGTATATGACCACTGTCTCGAAGCGATACCTGCATCCGTGTTCACTGCAGTAACATTCACAGCAACCAAGATAAGGATGCAGCCTAGGAGTCCATCAGTCGGGGAGTGGCTAAAGAAAATATGTATCAAGAGAGAAGGAAACCTGTCATTTGCGACAGCACAGCAGGGGCAAGGTTTTTATCTATGGAAGAGCTGTTGGTGAGGGTGCCTGATGTGCATCCAGCTGCAGGTGTAGCAGGTGGGACTGGGTGGGTGTGCTGTATGCATATGCCCAGGTGGTACAGGTGGGACTGGGTGGGTGTGCTGTATGCATATGCCCAGGTGGTACAGGTGGGACTGGGTGGGTGTGCTGTATGCATATGCCCAGGTGTTCCAGGTGGGACTGGGTGGGTGTGCTGTATGCACACACCCAGGTTGCAGGTGGGATTGGGTGCATCTTGCTGTATGCACACGCCCAGGTGTTCCAGGTAGGACTGGGTGGGTGTGCTGTATGCACATGCCCAGGTGTTCCAGGTAGGACTGGGTGGGTGTTCTGTATGCACACACCCAGGTGTTCCAGGTGGGACTGGGTGGGTGTGCTGTATGCACATGCCCAGGTGTTCCAGGTAGGACTGGGTGGGTGTGCTGTATGCACATGCCCAGGTGTTCCAGGTAGGACTGGGTGGGTGTTCTGTATGCACACACCCAGGTGTTCCAGGTGGGACTGGGTGGGTGTGCTGTTTGCACACGCCCAGGAGACTGATCAGTCAGGTGTGTCCATCACCTCCGAGTCACCCGTGGGGCTGTGCCGTTCTGTCCCCAGGCAGTCGGTCGCTGCTGTGCTCCCTGTCACTGCAGGGGAGATGAAGGGAGTCACACAGGCTGGGCTGTTTGGCGGGGGTGGGTGTCTGGCGTCTTCCACTGAGCATGGCTTCTTTGAGATTCATCGAATGATCATGTGAAGTGTGGGTCAATGTTTTTGTTCTCACTGCTGAGTAGGATGTCATTGTGTGGAGGTGCCACCACTTGTCTCAGTTTGGGACAACAAAATATCTAACTTCTCTGATGTCTGTGGGCTGCCTTTTCATATTCCTGACAGTGACTTGAAGAGCAAGTTTGCCTGACTTGGTGGTTGAGTGTTGACCTATGAACCAGAGGACACAGTTGGATTCCTGGTCAGGGCACATGCCCGGGTTGCGGGCTCGATCCCCAGTGTGGGGTGTGCAGGAGGCAGCCGATCAATGATTGACTCTCTCCTTCTCCCTATCTCTCTCTCCCTTTCCGTTCTTCTCTGAAACCAATGAAAATATCTGTATATTTTTTTAAAAAGAAAAACAGTTTTTAGTTCCTCCAATTCATTGATTCTTCTCTTAAGATTTCTGCTTTTGTGTCCTATTTTAGAATTCTTTTTTTTTAATTTTATTAAATCTTTATTGTTCAGATTACATTTGTTCCTCTTTTTTTCCCCCCATAACTCCCCTCCTCCCAGTTCCCGCCCCACCCCCCGCCCTCACTCCCCACCCACTGTCCTCATCCATAGGTGCACGATTTTTGTCCAGTCTCTTCCCGCATCTTCCATTCCCCTTTCCCCCTCAAGAATAGTCAGTCCATTCCCTTTCTATGTCCCTGATTCATTGTAGTCACCAGTTCATTCTGTACATCAGATTATTTATTCACTTGATTCTTAGATTCACTTGTTGATAGATGCATGTTTGTTGTTCACAATTTATATCTTTACCTTTTTCTTCTTCCTCTTTTTAAAGGATACCTTTCAGCATTTCGTATAATACTGGTTTAGTGGTGATGAACTCCTTTAGCTTTTCCTTATCTGTGAAGCTCTTTATCTGACCTTCAATTCTGAATGATAGCTTTGCTGGATAAAGTAATCTTGGTTGTAGGTTCTTGGTATTCAGCACTTTGAATATTTCTTGTCATTCCCTTCTGGCCTGCAAAGTTTCTGTTGAGAAATCAGCTGACAGTCGTATGGGTACTCCCTTGTAGGTAATTGAGTCTCTTTCTCTTGCTGCTTTTAAGATTCTCTCTTTGTCTTTTGCTCTTGGCATTTTAATTATGATGTGTCTTGGTGTGGTCCTCTTTGGATTCCTTTTGTTTGGGGTTCTCTGCGCTTCTTGGACCTGTAAGTCCATTTCTTTTACCAGGTGGGGGAAGTTTTCTGCCATTATTTCTTCAAATAGGTTTTCAATATCTTGCTGTCTCTCATCTTCTGGCACCCCTATTATTCTGATATTAATGCGCTTGAAGGTGTCCCAGAGGCTCTTTACACTATCTTCGTATTTTCGGATTCTTTTTTCATTTTGCTTTTCCGGTTGGGTGTTTTTTGCTTCTTCACATTTCAAATCTTTGACTTGATTCTTGCGCTCCTCTGGTCTGCTATTGGGTATAATATTCTTTATTTCAGTCCGTGTATGCTTAATTTCTAGTTTCTTTATCGTAGCATCGAGGGTCTCATTAGTTTTCGTGAGGCTCTCAACAAGTTTATTGCAAGCCCTCAAAATTGTGTTTTTTAGCTCCATATCCTCCATTTCTGTCATGTTTTTTTGTCTCCGCATTTTTTATGCTTTCTTGGTGCACCCCCTTGTGGTCTTTGTGCACAGTCTTGTTCTAGTTAAGCCTTGATTGTTGTAGTTAATACTAGAGGGATTTGTCCACCAGGCCGACTGGCTGTGAGAATCACCTGTGTCTGCCCGGGAAAACTTCTGTCCTCTGGGGAGGTGCTAATCTAGCCTTTGCCTGAGGCGATCTGGCAAATGGCTCTGCGCAGGGCTTGGGCGGGGCGGGTCCCACGGGATCAGCCGGGCGGGCGGAGGGAGCAGTTATGGCTGCTCTCAGTCCCGTTCCCAGAGGCTCTGCTTCACAGAACCCCGGCAGCCGCTGCAAACTTCGGAGAGAAAGCTGCCCTTAGGTTCCAACTGATGCCGGACAATCCTGCTTCTCCCGTCTGAGTCTGAGTCCCTAGAGACTCGCCCGGATTTGGAGCCCAGAGTCTGAGACTCACTCCCGACCGAAAACGACAACCGCGCCCTCAGCCACCAGCCCGCTTTGCGCGTGCACCTCCGAACCTTTAAATTTTCCACACTGCACCTCCTCTGAGCCTCGGGACGCTGCTGTCTTTCCTTCTAGTTGAAGAGTCTCTCCTCAGCCAGCCTTCCTGTGGTTCTGGGTGATGTCCGTTCCGTCTTTTAGTTGTATTTTTGAAGTGGTTGTTTGCGGCAGTGGTCTCCAGTGTTTACCTATGCCGCCATCTTTTCGAGTCCCCTATTTTAGAATTCTTTGCCAAACTCAAGATTATGAGACTTTCTCCTGTTTTCTTCCGGAAGTTTCATAGGTTTAGCTGTGCATTGAGGCTGCCATCTAGTTTGAGTTAACTTCTGTGTGTGGTGCATTTGGAAAGGTGGGATGGACGTCTTATTTTGTCCTTTGGCTACCAGACATGCTGGTGTCATTTTTGTAGCTCAGTTCTGAGGCTAGGAGTTGACCCTGCAGGTTCCCTGTTTCTGTTCTGACTTCCCAAGCAGGTAAGTGGCCGCCCAGACCGAGGGGTTACTCGGCTCACATGATGTGGTGCCTTCCCCCAGGGCCTGAAGTACGGTGGCTCAGAAAGCCAGCCGCTAGCCAGCCGCTAGCACGCGGCAAGGAAGCTCTGTAAAGTAACACTGTGTACTTTTTGAAATGTGAATACTCGTTACCTTTTATATTATGGGAATTTACGTATTTATATATGATTTTCCTCAAATAAGATGCCCTTAGGGACACAGATGTCTAAAATTGACGCCTTTTTAAAGTCATTTTGCAGAATTGGGAGGGAGAGGGACTCTTATTAATTATTACTTAATGGAGGCTTTGCGTGAGTCAGCGTTTTGTGGCTGAGTTTTCATTTAACGACTATTAACAGGTAATCAGAAATGTTCGGTTCTTGTTGACTGACTTACCAGTGAGTGCAGACTGCACTTTGTATATCGTCTGCGTTAGATAAGACCGTTTGAATTTTGCGTTCGGTTGCTCTGCTTGAAATGAAGGCCAGATGTAAACGAACGTGCTGTTTCCGGCCGTGGGAGACGCTCTCTTAGCATCCGTGGGGTTGGCCTGGCTGAGGTAACAGCAAAGCTCACCCCCGAGCCTCGCCCTTTCTGCCCACAGATGTACCTGGTGATTTTCCCGGAGGGGACGCGGTACAACCCCGAGCTGACGAAGGTCATTTCCTCCAGTCAGATATTCGCTGCTCAGGAAGGTAAGCGAGCCTTCGCTGCTTTTGAAAACGTTTTAAAGACGATGACCTTTCAGTCTTTGTTCCCAGAGAAGATGTGTATGTCTCCCCGCAATTGAAAGCATGAGCGTGTTTTCCCTGAGTGAATGTCCGTGTAACCCTTAGGGAATGAGGGTTCTTCTCGTTCGCATGCCGAGGCCTCGCACCCGAGAGGTGCAGTTCAGAGGCTGCCAAGCTCCGCGTCGGTGCCGGGGTTCAGGTGACACCGTGTGGGTGCACGATGCCCCGTGAGGGTTCTGTGTGACGCCGTGGACAGGCCTGGATTGGAACCCCAATGGTGACACTTCCTGGCTGTCTGGGTGCCGGCTGCCTGCTGTTACGGCCTGCTTCCTCATCGCTTCAGAAATACACACCTGACGGGACAGACCCCGGTCAGTCTGTGAGAACCAGCTGGAAGTGGGGGCGTGTCTGCTGGAGAACACGACACAGTGGGTCACGGACTTGGAAGCTGCTTTATGTCCCCAGTAATCAGAGTGTTCTTGACATCCATGTTGTAGAAAAGTGGGTGACTCGTCTACCCAGGAGCAAATGGGGGGTAAACATAAAGCAGTGGCCCTGCTGTTTTCTCTCGTGAACAAGCGAGACACCCACACACGGGTCCCCACACATGGGTCCCCACACACCGGTCCCTGGGGACGTCCTGATGACCCTGAGCAGGCTCAGGCACCGCCATCCCGGGGAGCGGGCTGCGGGGACGCTCGTGACCAGGTGGTGGCTCCCCCACGCACTGGGGAACGTCAGAACGCGGCCGGTGCAGCGAGGAAATCATTTTTAATTTTATTTATTTTTAGTTAATTCATTGTGATCTGACATGAATGCTCCGCAGGATGGAGTGACTGCAGACAGTAGCAGCTGTGTGTCTGCACCCAGGTCAGCCTCAGGGCAGGGCTCCAAGGCGAGGCCGGCTGGCTGCTCCGAGGGTGAGCAGCGCCTCTCCTTCCACTGCCTGAGGTGGGAATGGGCGGGCTGGAGGGTCCAGCCTGGGCTGGCTGCATCAGCTGGGCGCAGCTCGACTCTCTCCCTTTCCATCCTCCTCACGGTGTTCGTCAGGTACCATCTTGCCAGGATAGTCTGAGATGGACGTGACCGTGAGCTGGGGCTGCGTTCCCTAACGTGTCTGCGTTCTGGAACCCAGACAGCTACTTGATCCCTTTTGCTGTGGGTCCCTATTTGTTAGACAGGAGTTACACCATCTCTTTAAGGGGCTTTGGGGAGGCGGTGACTTCCTGTTTGCAGACGGCAGGTGTGGAGGGCGCTGTCTGCTGTGCTGTGCTGTTCACAGAAGGCATCGGCATTGCGGTCGGGCACCCTCGGGTGTCCTGGAGCCAGCGCCCCGCAAGGCCAGGGGAGGGTGGGGCTTTCCTGGAGTCAGACGCGACCGGGAATGTTGATGGTGGGGTTGGCACCCTGACCATGTTGTTCAAGGGTTAACTGCATGTGCAGGGCATGTGATATGTGAGTGTGTATCCTGTTTAGGTAAAACAAACCTTTGTATGCAAAGAGATTTGTTCCCTGTGTTATATTTACTCAGAGTCATCATTTCATCCAAGCTCCAGGCCCGGCATCGGGCGCCTCCACCTCGGCGGCTTGCACCAGCAGGCTTCCTGCGTTTCTCCCGGCCCGGGGCCTGAGCTTGGGGCCTGGAGCCTGGGGCCCGGGGCCTGGAGCCCGGGGCCTGGAGCCTGGGGCCCAGGTGTCCTGTGGCCGCGGTTTCTGGTGAGAAGCGTCCTCCTGGCGTGGGAGGCTGCCGCCCGCCCTCCCACCCGCCGGCTGTGTCCTCACGCGGCCTTCCCAGTGCGCACACAGGCTCCTCTGTGCCTCCCTCTCTTGACGAGCACACGGCCCTGGCGGATGGAGGCCGCAGCTCTGACCTCACTGAATCTTAATTGCCTCCCAGAGGCCCATCTCCAGGCCAGGCCCACGGGGCCAGGCCCAGAACCAACTGGGCGGGGAGGGCACCTCAGCCCACGCAGGCCTAGGCTGTTTCTCTGTGTAAGGAGATTTAACACATATTTCTTAACCCGTCACTTTAAAATCAGCTCACCTTTATTATTTAATCTCAACTGAGACGGCTGTTTATATGCCTATTAAGAATTAATTTTTTTAAATCCACAGCAATTTTGTGATGTGTTTTAAAACAAGTACTTTTAAGTAATTTTTAAAATTGTGTAATAGTGATAGACATTTGAGCTTCTTAGTCTAACAAGAACCCAGCCACCTATAACAGATCAGTTATTGGCCTTCCATTTTTCTGTGTTGAGATCGTTCTCAAAGCTACCGAAAGGGGAAGAGAAGTCTGTATTCCCGATGTAATGTTTGACTGCTCACTTTCCTTCTTTAACTTCTGGAACTGGAACACGGTTGCCGTCTGTTCGGAAGGTAATTATCCGCACACACGGAGGAGATGGATTGTGAGCAGCAGGTCTAGAAACAGTGTTTCCTGTTTCCCTGCGCTTCAGGCGCAACTTAATGAGATTAATTAAAAACAGAAGACTTGTTTCTCCGCCTGTTAATTTTTCCTCAAGAAAGTTGTGACTAGTAATGCGTTAGTCTGATATGTTTTGCTGCTAAACATCTTTAATTTTGCTCCTAAAATACCTTCATTTGATCCTGACTTAGCAAGTAGAAAAACAATTGAGATTTTTAAAAACTGACACTTGTTCACACATCTAAGTCATTATACCAGGCACCACTCTTCCTTCTCTGTGGACAGTGGTGCTGCTGGCAGAGCAGGTGTGGGTGTGTCTGATGTGTCTTGGCCCTAAATATATCAAGGCCTGGTTATTGCTTGTTCCTGGAAGTATTGCTTAAGAAAGATCAGGCACAAAATATGTTGATTCAGTATTAGGGTTGTTATTTAACATACGTTTGTGTTATAGTGTCTTGAATTAACATTGTTTACTTCAAAGATTGTTATATTAATGGTCTCTAAATTCCCTTCTAACTTGAAACTAAATGGTAGTCATTCTCTTAAAAAAGACTATTCACATTACCAAATAAATTGTCCAAGATTTTGTTTAACTACAACCTCTCCAGGACAAAACCAGATTTTGAGAGATTGAAATATAGGTAGAGTCTTCAGGAAACTGTTTATGCCAGGCAAGCAAGTTGTATATTGAAGGCTGCTCACTGTTATACTAGTAGATTAGCAAAAGTAGAACTTTATTTTCAGAAAAGCTAACAGGAAGTTGTCATTTAGGAACACAGTGGTAAGGATCGTTCAGCATCATAGGTGAAGGCATTGTATAATAGTATATGAAGGAGTTGTATAAATAGATCAATAGGAGGTGCTAGCTCGTAAAACGGGATTAGACACAAATAAAACAACAAGGGGGGTTCCCACAGCAGCTGGCGAGGCCACACCCACCTGCTGAGCCTGGTGCTCGACGCGGCTCATACCTAGGATTCTCAGGGTGGAGCCAGGGAACGGGCTTTCTCATGTCACTCGAAGCCCTGGAGAGTGACTGGGCCGTGTGTTCGTAAGCACACAGGGGACAGTGTCTGCGTTCTCACCTCACTCATGGACTCCACCCCTCGCCCATTCGAGCTTCACTCACTGGAGATGCTGGTTCAGGTGACACTGCCCAGCGGCCACTTCTCAGTGGTGGGCGTGGTGGCCGTTCCTTCTGAGCCTTCCCTGCCAGCTGTCCCCCGTCTCCTGCTCTCTTCCTCCCTCGCTGGCCTGGCTGGGCCTTTGGAGCTGGAAGGCAGAGCTGGAGCAGGAGGCGGCTTGGACCAGAAAGCTGTGGAGTCATCAGCGCTGCTCAGAGTGCCTTCTTGGGGGGGCGGGGGGGAAGTTATTGTTAGTGTGGTGTGCATATTAGTGGTAGGTATTTCTTTTTTTTTTTTTAAATGTTTTATTGATTTCAGAGAGGAAGGGAGAGAGAGGGGGAGAGGGAGATATAGAAACATCAATGATGAGAGAGAATCATGGATCGGCTGCCCCCTGCACACCCCCCCACTGGGGATCGAGCCCGCACCCCGGCATGTGCCCTGACGGGAATTGAACCGTGACCTCCTGGTTCATACGACGCTCAACCACTGAGCCACACCTGCCGGGAAGTGGTGGGTGTTTCTTAATCATTCATCACAAAGCTTTATTACAATGCATTTTTTGGAAATATTACTTCTTTGTCTTTAGCTGCCTACTAAATTGGACTCCTGATCACTTGTTCTTGCTGAGCAACACGGGGTTCTGTGGACCGGGCTGTGCAGTCGGGTGAGCGTGCTCTGGCCTGCACACCTGCGGCCGAGGCAGAGCCGCCTGTGAGCAGTGGTGCCGGCGCAAGGAAGGAGGTAGTGACCGATGGTGCTGGCGAAGGAGCGCTCCCTGGCCGGCCACAGTCAGACTCGCGCTTTAAGTTTGAGCAGAGTGAGCGGGCTCTGCCCTGGGGCCACGTGGTGTGGGAACCTCTGCTGTTCCCACAGCCTCTGCATTGCCAGCATTCCTTCCAGGGCCCGGCTGGGCAGCTGCTCCTCCTCCGCTCCTCTGGGCTGGGCGGCCCCCCTCCGCTCCTCCATGATGGGCGGCCCCCCTCTGCTCCTCTGGGCTGGGTGGCCCCCCTCCGCTCCTCTGGGCTGGGCGGCCCCCCTCTGCTCCTCTGGGCTGGGCGGCCCCCCTCCGCTCCTCTGTGCTGGGCGGCCCCCCTCCGCTCCTCCATGATGGGCGGCCCCCCTCTGCTCCTCTGGGCTGGGCGGCCCCCCTCCTCTCCTCCGCTCCTCTGGGCTGGGCGGCCCCCCTCTGCTCCTCTGGGCTGGGCGGCCCCCCTCCGCTCCTCTGTGCTGGGCGGCCCCCCTCCGCTCCTCCATGATGGGCGGCCCCCCTCTGCTCCTCTGGGCTGGGCGGCCCCCCTCCTCTCCTCCGCTCCTCTGGGCTGGGCGGCCCCCCTCCTCTCCTCCGCTCCTCTGTGCTGGGCGGCCCCCCTCCTCTCCTCCGCTCCTCTGTGATGGGCGGCCCCCCCTGATGGGCTCCCCGGGTGGGGAGCGGAGAGCTGCTCCTGGTGACACTGTCTGGGAACATCTCACCGGGAGAGGGCGGCTGTAGGCACAGGAGAGAGCAGGGTTCTTAGCACTCATGGAAGCACTGATAGCTACCTGATTATTATTAAATCGCAATGTTTCTCAGATAAAGAAGGTTTTTTACAAAGAAGCTTTTAAAAAATGATGAAATATACCCGGGAGAATTAAAATCCTATGTTCATACAAAATCTTACTGGTGCATGTATGTGCGGCGTTCGTCTGTAGTGGATGTAGTGGACATACGTGTGTGTGGCAGCATTCTGCACAGTAGCCAAGGGTGGAAGCCACCAGGGGCCTATAGTGTCGGCGGAGATGGAAACGTGCTGTCCACACACGCGCTGTCGTTCAGCTGCAGAGGAGCGGGGCCCTGACGCGGCCACCGCGGGCGGCCCGGGGTCTGAGTGCGTGAAGGATGCCAGTCACAGATGTCCACACACCGTAGGATTCCAGCTCTGACATGCTCTCACAGGCAGAGCTATTGAGGTCCAAAGCAGGGGCCTGGCCGCGGGGAGGGTCTGGGTGAGGAAATGGCCTGGGGTTTGCTGGTGCTGATGGTTGTGCAGCCCTTTGAATAGGAAAACCACTGAACTGTGGCTTTAAAGGGTAAGTTCTGGATTGTGTGCTAGATCTCAGCTTCCTAGAAAAGGGCACCAGAAACTCGAGTCCCAGGCGGGTGCCTCCCAAGCGGCCAGTCAGGTGCTGGTGGGGATCTGGGCCTGGAGCCTTGAGGCCGGTCAGGGCCCCCCTCCCCACCCCCCCACTGCCTGCCGCCCAGTGAGGTCACCAGGTGGAGGACCCCCCTCGGGCCCTGAGCCCCAAGGCCATGGGTCTCGCTCGCACAGGTGCTGCTGTGACTTAAACATCGTCACATGCGGGCACGTTCCCATCCTCAAGTCCAGCACCTGTGAGGGCGTGGCCTGCGTGGCCTCGTCTGTCTCTCGACCTTTGACGGCCGGGCAGGTCTGCGCGAGGGGTGTGCCTGAGCCGCAGCCACACTGTCTGCTCTTTCCCAGGCCTGCCCGTGTTGAAGCACGTGCTGACGCCGCGCGTGAAGGCCACCCACATCGCCTTCGATTCCATGAAGAACTACCTAGATGCCATCTACGACGTCACCGTGGCCTTCGAAGGGACCGTGGACGACAAGGGGCAGCGGAAAGAGGCGCCGTCCATGGTCGGTGAGTCTGTAGTCAGTCCCGTGTCCTATGTTTCTCCAGGATTCCACGTTCGTCTGTGACGGCGTGGATGCCAGGAGTCCCGCTCGGCCTGGTGTTTCCCAGTTGGTCCTGTAGACGAGCCCCTTGTCACGAACTCGGCCTCTTTCCACCCAAAGTCCCCACAGGGGCGGGGCCGCTCATCTGCATTCATTTGCATACAGTGTTTCTGAAGTAGGGTCACTAACAAGAAAGCTAAGTGTGACCTTTCTTTCAACACACTAGGTTCTCAGGTCGCTGAGCTGTGCCTGTTGGGTGTGACAGAGAAAATAGAACGTTCCGTGAGCAGATCTTTAGTTAAACCACCGAGACCCTCTGACAGTTGGGGAAGTTTGCATGGAGCAGACGAGAAATGCGCGGCCGGGTTCCCTCCTCAGTGTCCACTGCGCTGACAGGAGCCGGGAGCTGGGGCGGGCCTGCGCCTCGCCTGGCCACCGTCTGGCGTGGCACCCATGTGCTCGCCCGAGCGCCTCTCGCAGGATCTCTTGTAAATGAAAAGAAAGCCCATGCTCACTGTATGTGCAAAAGGCACAGAGAGGAGCAGGGAGGCCTGGGGGCAGCATGGGGAGCGGCGGGGGCTGCATGGGAGAGCTGGTTGTGGTGCGTCAGGAAACCTGAGCCGTCACCCGAAGTCATGTGATGGCCCTCACCTTTGCCTTCAGCCAGGGGACGGGAGCATAGGAGGCTGAGGGCTTTTCATTTTCGGTGGGACGTGGGGAACGTTACACATGAAGCAGTTGAACATGAAAGCTGTCCACCTGCCCCATGTCCACCGGTCCCCGTCCAGCAGGTCCCCGCGCCCGTCCCAGAGGCCTTTTCAACCACTAAAGGAGCCGTTGACCTGTTTTTACATTGAAAACATACAGTCATTTAGTTCAACAGCGTTGTCATTAGTGTATCAGACAGTGTTTAAAAATAGGATTAAACCTGTTTTTACTTTTATGGAAACCAAGTAGAATCCCCACAGTCACAATAACCATTGTAAAGTGCTACTTCCATTGGTCCCCTCGGGGCCTGTGTCCCCTGGGGGTGAGAACTCAGTGGCTGAGCAGTGTCCACAGGATGAATACCCGCCCCTCCCACCACTGCTGCTCCTACGGGGCAGCTGGCCGAGCCTCTGTCTTCGTCACAGGCTGCCTTGTGTTTGAGAAGGTGTCTCTCTGACTCACACCCGTAGCCGTGGAGAAAGCAAAACCCATGCTTTCTGTCTATTACGGACGGCTCTGCAGGAATGACATTAGCCTGACCTGGAGGACAGGACAGACACAGGTGGGAAGAGCACCTGCTGCTCCGCTCAGGAGGAAGGCCTGCTCCTTGGAGTGTGGAGTGGGCCTGCCGGCTGGCAGGAGG